AGCCTTATGGGATTTCCCATGTATGTAACAAGCCTGTTTCTCTTGCTATTTTTAAGATTATCTCTTCTTATTTAACTTTCAATATTTTAATTATAATTATAATTAACTTAATTATAATGTGTAGATCTCTTTGGGTTCATCTTGTTTGGAACTCTGTGGGCTTCCTGTATCTGGGTGCCTGTTTCCATTCCCAGATTAGGGAAGTTTTCATCCATGATCTCTTTAAAGTAAGTTTTCTGTCACTTTCTCTCTCTTTTCTCCTTCTAGGACACCCATATGCAGATATTATTCTGCTTAATGTTACCCCATAAGTCCCTTAAGGTATCCCACCTTTTTAAATTCTTTTTTCTTTTTGCAACTCTGTCTGGGTGAGTTTTATTGCTTTGTCTTCCAGTTCACCAAACCATTTTTCTGCTTTATCCAGTCTGCTGTTGAACTCCTCTAGTGTATTTTTCATTGGTTACTGTATTCTTAAGCTCTGTAACTTCTTTTTGGTACTTTCTTATATTTTCTATCTCTTTGTTTAAGTTCTCATTGTATTCATCCATTCTTCTCCCTAGGTCAGTGAGCATCTTTATAACCATTATTTTGAACTCTTTATCAGGTAGATTACTTATCTCTGTTTCATTAAGGTCATTTTCTGAGGTCCTTATCTTTCATTTGAAACATATGCCTCTCTCTTGTTTTGCCTGATTATCAGAACAGCTACCTCTCCCAGTCTTGAAGAATTGGCCTTGTGTAGAAGATGATGTGTGAAGCCCAGGAGCAATCCCTCTGGCTACTAGAACCAGACACTCCAGAGGTATCCCCTCTGTGGGGTGCATGCACCAGCCAGCTGTGGCAGAGCCATGGCTGTGGCACAGAAGGAAGCAAGATGCTGGCCTGGCAGTGGTTTGACTATGGCACAGGAGGGGTGGGACACTTGCCTCGCTGTGGTAAATCTGTAGCTAGGAAGGATAGGTCTCTTGCCTGGCTGGCTGTGACATGGTTCTGGTGTGATGCAGGGTGCTCTCCCAGCTGGCTGTGGCATAGCTGGGGCATGGTGAGGTGTGGTAAACCTACCTGCACTAGCAGGTTAGAGGGAGATTGCCAAAATAATACCCACCAGTATTGGTATTAGCAAGGTAGAAAGAGATTGCAAAAATGCACCTGCCAGTGCTTCTGTCCCTGGAGAGAGTCCCAACATGTTTCTGCCTCTGTAGTGATCACTTTAAGATTAGTAATTGGGTCTGCTTCAAGTATGGACCAGGTGTTTTCAAACTGCTGTTTTTTTTGCTGGGTCCTGGAGTGACTGAGTCTACATGCGAGTCCCTTCAGGGCTCTGTTCCCTACAGCTTCCCTACAGGTGTTTCTTCTCCTGGATATAATCCCTGATGGTCTTATGTTTGGGGCAGGAGGGCTCATCTTTCCAGTACAGGCCCCAAAGGTTGTGGTGTCAACCTCTAGCTTCTCAGGAGAAAGTGCTGTATTTTGGGAATCTCTCCTCATTATGGGTCATCATGTCTAGAATTGGAGTTTTTGGCAGCAGGTGTGTCTCTACCTCTCTTACTCATCTCCTCATAGCCCTTTTATCCTTTATTGTGGAGGCACAATGTTCATCCAGTTATCAGGATTTTTTCAGAGAAATTACTCCATGTGTAGGAGTAGTTGGTTGTGTCCATGGGAGGAGGTGAGTTCAGGATATTCCTCCACTGCCATCTTGAACCACCCACTCCTCTTCTCCTACTTTATCATTCTTGAAATGATCTCTTTCCTGGGACATCACATTCAGTGATTTTTCTTCTAACTCTTGACCAAAACTTCTTAGTCTTTTGGGGGATTTTCTGCAAAATGTTGCTTAATTATTGCTATTCCCCATTTTCTATCCTTAGCTGTATTTTTATTCTCCCTTCAAGGTTTCCCTAGATAGTCAAATATACCATTAAATTTCTATTTCTAGATATAGCCTAAGTTTTAGACTCACTTTTGCTTTGTGTACTATACATCTCCATTTAGATAACCCAAAGGCTTCTCAAAATCAACGATATGCTAAATAAAACCATTATTTCTCTTTCTTACTCTAAAAAACATGTTGCTTTATCCATATGTCTTCCTTCATCTAATGGTGCCACCATTCATCCTGTTGCCTAAAAATAAAACCTTGAAGATTTCCCCTCATATGTTAGTGTTCCTCTTAAAATATTTTTGAAAGGTTATTCTCTCTTATTCTTGAACTGCACTTCCTTGACTAAGGACTTAGTCAGCTTTTATAAGCTACTTATTTAATTTTCTTATAGGTTTCCTTAAGTTCATCCTCCCTACCTCCACTTCTCCATTCTCAGTTATGATCCCAAAGCTGAAAGAATTATTTATTTCCTTTTTTTTAATCTGAACTTGTTCTGCTTTCAATCCTCAATTATTCTCCAGTAGCTAAAGATAAAAGCTAAGTTCCCTAGCTTCGTATAGAAGATCCCCTATGATTCAACCTCCTTTGGTAATTACCAACTAATCTCCCACTTGCAACTTAACCATGCAGCCATAAATGAGCAAATAAAAATTATTCAATTTTCTGTAATTATAGCTATCATCACGATGTTTTTTCAGCTTAGAAATTCTATCTTTCTTCCGTGCACTTTGAACACTTATACTTTACTTCTAAATTTCAGTTCTTTTGTGACATCTCCCTTGACTTGCCAAGGCATTTTGTCATATGTTACTTGGACTTTGTGGTATTTTCAGCGTATGACCATTATCACTTTTCTCACCCACTTGCAGTCATTTATGTATATGCACATACCCCACATTAAGCTTTCTATTTTTCATGACAGCATTTTCAACATCTAATAATGCCTCAATAAATAATTAACACCAAATATGTGATGAGCAAATAAATAGATCAATACTTTTAATTACAAGAAAGTCTAAGGAATTCAATGTTTGTAACTTAAAACTTGCCATGAATAAGGAAATAAGGATGCATTTTTACTTTCCTAATGCTTGAAATCCATATAACTTTATAAGGCGATTCCAAAAAACAGAATTTTTCTTTTGGTAACTGAAATGTAATCTTTATTAATTTATGAAAATTAAATAAAAAGCTTTAAAATAAGGCTATTATCACATATCGCCTATCAGAGAAAATTAAATTTTAATTATATATGATATTTCAACTACTGAAAAAAATCTTAAGAATTTATCTTTAGGGTAGTTTAAGAAGAATTCTCAAAGAAACTATTTAGACTACCCTGGAAATGACTCATTTCCTTGAAATTTTCTCCAGAAATGTCCCTGGTATAATATAGATTTCTATGGTAGCAGCATGTTTCATGCCAAACCCTGGATCCTTTCTAAAACTCTATCACATAGATTATAGAGCTAAGTAGTAAAAATGCTTTAAAAATTAAATATTAATTTATGGTTCAATAGCCTACACCCATTCTTGGAAAACACAGAAGTTTAGAAATAAAACAGCTAAACCTTAAGAAAAAAAAGCAAACCAAAAATGCATATAAAATCACCCAGTCTAAAGGAAAAAAAATTAAAAATGTAACATCATCATGGGTATATTTATCCAGCAAAATGCTGATTCTACCATTATCAAAAAAATCAGTTCACACTTTTTAAGAAAAAGTTAAATCATAAATAGTATAAACACAACTAAAAGATATTCCATCAACCTTAAACCCAACATATTCTGAAGCCTCTCACCTGGCTGGATGTTTTCTCTTATGATAGTGACATGGTTATCTCGATCTGGTCGTGTGTGTTCATGCCAAAAGCCTATCACATGGCCCAATTCATGAACAACAATTCCAAATTTATCACAGTTCTTGCCAATAGAGATTGCCTGGGGTCCATTTCCCCGCCGACCTACATAGGAGCAGCATCTGCAATAAAGGAAAAACACAGAGATGGTGGTGGCAATGATAGATTAATTACAGTACAGTGAAACTTGTCAAGAATTATGATCAACTACAAAGTCCAACACATTCAGAGGCAGAGCAGCCTTTCATCAATAAACACGGCTAATTTCTAGTCCTGGTAAATGTATAGACAACAAAAGTCTCCACATAATCACTGAAGTGCTTTTTCACTAATTCATACATTAGAAGATATGCCTTAAATCATAATTAGGAGTGTTCAGAAGATATCAGAAAATAAAATATCTATGATGGTGATTAATGGGCTTTAAACATATAGTTAAACTCAAGATTTACTACCCACAATTATGTCTAATACAGTTTTTTAGTCTCACAATCCATCTACATTATTTAGGTAACTACTTTGTCACTACGGTTATCTGGAAATAATCCATTATTTCAGTTTTGAATATAAAAACAAAGTTTATTTTCCCCTTTAAGAAAAATAGAATCAGGGGTGCCTGGGTGGCTCAGTCAGTTAAGCGCCTGACTCTTGGTTTCAGCTCAGGTCATGATCTCAGGGTTGTGAGATCGAGCCCCATGTCAGGCTCCACGTTTAGTGCAGAATCTGCTTAAGATTCTCTCTCTCTCCCCCCTCTCCCTCTACCCCTTATCCCCCCCTAAAAAAAGAAAAAGTAAAAGAAAAGAAAAAAAATGAACTAAAGAAAGAAAGATGGTTAATCAATAACGGAGTTATTTTTCCTACTCATGGGAGAATTTATTTTGAAGAAGAAAACTTTTAAAAGAAGGAATCAATGGAGGAAAATTAGTTTCAAAAGGTAAATTTTGTAAGGTTAATAGCTAACTGGTGGAGAAAAACCAACAACTGGTAGAATTATGATTTGCAAATATAAATAAAATTATATCTAAAACTTAAATAATTGGGGTTTACATTAAAATAGGTTTATATGTAGGATCACAGCTTGAGACAGCAATAGAGGGCAGTAAATAATTGGTCTTGAATAGTTGGTAATCATGATGCACAAGACATCAAACACAGAAAACTGTCAAAATTAATTGCCCAAATGTTAAAAGGAATTTCACAAATTTTCAGTTTCCAAAGTAGGTATATTTGATAGTCCTTTTGATTGTTCATAAATACAAATATTTTTCATTCCAATTATCTCTGTAGGCTTTAAATGCCTTAAGCATCTTAACCTACACCATACACTTATTTATGAATCTATTATAACAATTAATGAAGCTTAATAAATTAATAATAGGAAAAAAAGAGGTAACTGGTAGGGAAAAAAATCAGGAAATTTTGTTTTTGCCCCCATTTTTAATACTATGCTTCAATCTATACACAGATATTTATTATATACCCAAATAGTAAACTATTAGATGGAGGAAAACACAAAATTTGCAAATTTTGGAGAGATTTAAACTGAATCATTTGCTACCATAGAGCAACAGTATATCTGATGATTATATAGCAACTAAATTACACACACTGAGTCATTCTTGCTGGTTATATTCAAAGAAGAAAATACTTTGCAAATCAAAATCTGGGAGATAGTCAAGCAATGTGGTCAACTTATTTAATCTAAAACACCTTTTTTAAGCATAATTTCACCCATAGCAATTTCCAATAAATAAGATGGATTCCATAACAGAAAACAAAAATATATTTTCCACTGACTTTTATAATGATCCTGTGAAAGAAGAAAAATGTGGTGGCTTGATTCCTCTTGTTCTAAGGAGAGAATAATTCTGGATGCTAAGATGAAAAAATAACTAAATATATGCACATATAATTAGGTATGGAATGACAGGGTAATATATGAGGTTTATAAAAATGTGGTTTAAACACGTCTAGGTATTATCTTAGTTTCAAATATCACTCAGGTTGATGCCATCTTCTTGTATATAGCTTTTGATTTTTTTTATTTCTAATTTGTGTGCTGCTTTTAAAACTTGGCCACTATAAGATCTATCTGTCCTCTCAAGAAAAACTTTCACCATCTATAGGAGGCCACACCTCTCCCTACGCCATAACAGTAATCAGGTAACCTAAAACCTGCTATTCCTTACTTTTGCCTCAGACTGGAGGACCAAAGCACCTTTAGATTTTGCCTGTTAGATAATCTATCATGACATCCACAAAGATGTCCTCCCCACAGCAGTCTTTTCTCAACGTTGAGATAATTTAAAAATTTAAAGTCATATTATGACTCTTCTCTACCCAATATTCTCCAATGGTTCTATGGCACATTGTGTCAATATTCAAAAATATTCATTACCCCTCACTGGAAGATAATCATACTTCCTTACTCCACTGATGTTGATTTTGGTCATGTGACTTGCTCTGGATAATGTCATGTGAGCACGAACTCTTTGTGTAATTCCTGGAATCTTTAATACTCAATATGTTTGGCAATATTGTCTCTGTTTCATCTGGCATAACTGCAAAGTTCTAAAAAGAGTTTCCTCCATCAGACTGAATACTAAAGTGGTAACTCTGGAGAGAGACACAGCCAACCAGTGATGGACCCGCAGTATGAACAAGGAATGAATGTTTGTTACTTGAAGCCACTGGGATTGAAGGGTCATGTATTAAATGAATCATGTCAGCTTACTAATACAAGCTTTCTCTTTTACTTAGAGGAAAATCTGAAGTACTTACAAATAACTGTAAGATCCCACATGATCTTCACACACAAATGTCTTAGCATCCAGTCCCATCTCTTACTACTGTCCCTGCAACTCACTCCTCCTGAGCCATGCAGTGTCCTGGCTGTGCCTTCAGCATACAGACATGCTCTTGCCTTAAAGCCTTTTTCCTGGCTATTTCTTCTGTCAGGACCTCTGTTCTCCCACATAGCCATATGGCTCATTTCATCTTCTTTTTCAAGTTTTTGTGCAAATGCCTTTCTATCCCATTTATATTGCTTTCCTTTTTGTCCTAGAACTTAGAGTCTATTAATACATTTTATATTTCATTGATTTTCATGGTTTTTTTTCTGACTCCCCAACCTAGAATGTAAGCTATTTGTGGGCAGACAACTTACATGTTTTGTATACTGATATCTCTAGCCCCTAAAATATAGTCAGGCACATAGTACAGCTTAGCAGATACAGAGAACAGATTGGAAGTTGCAAGCACTGGGAGTGGGAGGTGGGAGGGTGGGTCAAGTGAGTGAAGGGGGTCAAAATGTACAAACTTCCAGTTACAAGATAAATAAGTCCTGGGGATGTAATGTACAGCATGGTAACTAAAGTTAATAATACTGTATCACGTACTTGAAAAGTTGCTAAGAGAGCAGATCTAAAAGTTCTCATCACAAGAAAATAAAAGTGTTGCAACTATGTGGGGTAATGCCTGTTAACTAAATTTATTGTGGAAATCATTTCATAAAATATGCATATATCAACTCATCACAGTATACACCTTAAAGGAATACAGTGTTCTATGTCATTTATATTGTAATAAAACTGGAAAAAGATCATTTTTGAAATAAATTAATTAATAAATATTTGTTGAAAGAACAGATCTCATAAGTGCAGGAGAGAGCTAAGACTTCGGTGGTTAGCAGGGAGCATTCAAAGCAATGGTGAAGGTGCTTATGGCCAGAGATTAAAAATGCTCTTCCTGAGATACCTCCCCCCACCTGGCTCTCCACTTTTTCCATTGGTGTGATTCTATAAATTTTCTAATAATCCAACAAGTCATTTTTTCTGCTTAAATTAACTAGCCTCCGTTGTTTGCAAGCAAGAACCCTAGCTAGCACACCTCCTCTGCCTAACTATAATCTTCATGCAGAGAAAAACACCTCACATTCAATTTTATAGTCCCAAAAATTAGTATAGTAAGTGGCACAAAATGAAAATTCAATAGGTAAGGATGAATAAGTGACTGTTGCCATAATCTGAATATCCAAACTGACCAAATTTAAACACAATTTAAAACACAAAATCTAGAAAATAGCTAAATAAATTAACGCTAAGTTTGTTTGGTTAGTTGTTCTTAAGGAATCATTAAAAATTAGCAGGAGGAAAAAAGTAAGATTGTTCAAGAAATTATCTAGTAGAGGATAGAGGATATTCATGCATTAAAGACCTAAATATGAGACCTAAAACCATAAAAATCCTAGAGGAGAACATAAGCAGTAAACTCTTTGACATTGGCTATAGAGACTTTTTTCTAGCCAGGTCTCCTAAGGCAAAGGAAACAAAAACAAAAATGAACTATTGGGACTACAACAAAATAAAAAGGATTTGCACAACGAAGGAAACAGTCAACAAAACTAAAAAGCAACTTACTGAATGGAGAAGACATTTGCAAATGACATATCTGATAAAGGGCTACTATCCAAAATATGTAAGAACTTATAAAACTCAACACCAAAAAAAGAACCCCCAAAGAATCCAATTAAAAAATGGGCAGAAGACATGAACAGACATTTATCCAAAGAAGACATTTATATAGCCAACAGACACATGAAAAGATTTCATCATCACTCACCATCAGAAAAATGCAAATCAAAACGACAATGAGATATCACCTCACACCCATCAGAATGGCTAAAATCAACAACACAAGAAACAAGAAGTGTTGGAGAGGATGTGGAGAAAAAGTAATACTCATGCACTGTTGGTGGGAATGCAAACCGGTGCAGCCACTCTGGAAAACAGTATGGAGGTTCCTCAAGAAGTTAAAAATAGAACTACCCTCTAATGTAGCAATTGCACTACTTATTTACCCAAAGAATCCAATATCACTAATTCAAAGGGATACATGCACCTCTGTGTTTACAAAAGCATTATTTACAATACAATAGCCAAGATATGGAAGCAGCCAAGTGTCCATCGAAAGATGAACAGATAAACAAGAGGTGGTATATATACACAATGGAATACTATTCAGCCATAAAAAAGAATGAAATCTTGTTATTTGCAATGACATGGATAGAGCTAGCGAGTATTATGCTAAGTGAAAGAAGTCAATCAGAGAAAGACAAATACTGTATGATTTCACTCACATGTGGAATTTAAGTAAAATAAATGAGCAAAGGGATAAAGAGAAAGAGATAAACCAAGAAACAGACTCTTAACTATAGTGAACAAACTGATAGTTACCAGAGGGAAAGAGGGTAGGGATTGGGCTAAGCAGCTGATGGGGATTAAGGAGGCCACTTGTTGTGATGAGCACCAGGTGATGTATAGAATTGTTTAATCACTATAATTGTACACCTGAAACTAATGTAACAGTGTTTAAAAAATAAAGTTATACTTTAAAAAAGAAAATATTCAGCAATATAAAGTTGCATGGTAGACAAAGGTAATACATTCAGCTATATAAATTTCTGACTTACAAAGAAATAAATCACACAAGTCTTTATAAAGTGATCTTACATTTTGCTGATAATAATCATCTTGTGAAATAAATGTCACTGATGACAATAAATATTGATTGAAAAAATATTTATAGTTAAGTTCAAACTTTTTGCCAACAGAGGGAAAGGACACAATACCAAAATCCAATAGGAGTGTTATGCATTTGACTTGACATAGATCTTATTGCAGTAGCCCTCAGTGTTTTGTATAACACCAGATGCCAAACTCTTTAATAATTTTGATTAATCTTTATGGGATATAAATGCAGCATTATCATCGAAAAGAATCACCATAATGATAAAATAACTGTTTCATGAAATTATGGCCAATAATGGTAATTCCAAATGAAATTTAGAAGTCACAAAATGGTTAGAATGATTAGCAAGCCAATGATCAATTCCTATAAAATGTATCATCCTTCCTATCATTGAAAATACAATATAAGGAAATTGAATACAAAACAAATCACCAAATGCAACATTATTACTATAACAGTCACAATTATACGTATATATAAACACTCAGAAGTTTGATTTCAGGAGTGCAACTACAGATTTAAGGATTTGAGGGCAATTCACAACTTCAGTTTCCATTTCTCTAAAATCATTAAAATCATCGTTAAAGTACATGCTCTTCAATACCTCTACATTCTTACATTCTTTTCTTCTAGAATTATATACGATGTGCTTTAGCCGATGCGTAAATTGTCAATATTTTCTTGATCACCTATCTATAAAGCAGCGCACTGGGTGTCACGAGGGACGAAGAGATAAGCAACCTGTCATCACAGATGAAGGCAGACATATGAACCAATGGTGGAAATGTAACTAGTACAGCTAAGGTAGAGCAAAGTCGCACTGACGGCAGCTCAGAAATGGGTGAGAAAGAAATATGTGGATGATTTCCACTGATGAAAATGGAAGCAAAGGCATTCCAAGGAAGCAGAAAAGCACAAGCAAACACATGAAGAAATGACAGCAAATGGGGAAAAATAGTTTAGCAGGATAAAACAAGTAAAATGAAAAATTTTGAAAAAAGCCAAATTAATGAAAGAAAATGAGCATAAATACGAGTTTGCTACAAACAGAAATTTATTAATGAGATAATGAATGCCAGTGTTTTGTTTGCATTTGTTTTACAAAATTGAAGGGTAGTAAAGATAAAGGAAAGATATATTGATCTGAATACATTATGTATTTAGAAATATGTAAGCTGAGCTATATTCATTTCTATTAGATAACGAGAAGGAAGGAAGGAGAGTCTAGATTTGGACCTTTAAATATTAAATAGATATTAAGAACTAGGAGGCATTTCACATGTAACCAAAACTTGTCAAGATAAAATTTAGTAATTTGGAAGAAAACATTACTTGAATAAGTCAAAACTAAAAAATTATGGCATTATCCAAAATTATATAGAAAGGTAATAATGTATACTTTTTCTTAATGTCACTCGATAGGGTCAAAAGTAAAATCCATTACTTTTTAAGTGAGGTTAAATCTAGGAATATGTGATAGAACAAAGCCAGATGACACAATCCTCCCCCAATACCCAGTGACATATATATTTTCTCCCCCCAAAATATATGTGATTGGGGCAAGAACTCTTTCCTCCAAATGAATGAAGCACTTATTTTTACTTCCCTATATAAACTATACTAGAGGGTATTCAAATAGTTTGAGATGATTAGAGAAAATTCCTCTTTGTAGAGGAGTCCAGCTAATAAATGTAGAAGGACTAAAAGGAAAGAACAACATTAGCAAATCACTATTTTGCAATGATGGGAACTTTTACAATGGAGGGACTGGGCCGTCACCCCTGGAATCTACTGATCAACAGCAGCATCGCTGAAGTGCTAGGTCCAGCACATGTGCCTCCTGAGGGGATGCAATGTCAAGGAGACAGCAAACCCTACCAAGTATTCTTCCTGAGCAAGCAAAAGTTCTGAGTTTAATCAAATATTTAAATGTAAGTTCCAACTAACTAGAGATAGAGGAGAGAGAAGTTTGAGACCTTTCACAGTAAAAAGGCTTTAAGTATACAGTGTTGCTTGGAGAACTGCTGTTACTGTAACTTGGCTAGATTATGGGATGTGGTGGCAGAAGAGGCTGCACATGGAAGTTGTGGTGAGTTCATGGTATTCTTTAAATGTTATATCAAGGAATTTGGATTTTATTCTCAGGCTAACATCTCCCAAAATGTGTTCCAGGATACTGATGTATGTTCTTCACTCTTAAAAGAGTGGCATGGATGCTCTGTTTTTTAAGTAAATTTAAAAAACACTGTATTCTATATTCTCTCTGATGGGTTGAATATTCATAATGTTCATTAGCACATTGCTGCAGAAATATCTACTGAAATTTAACACAGCATTTCACAACTTATGGAACAGTTGTTTTGTTTTTTGTTTGTTTGTTTGTTACTTTTTTGTATTATTATGTTATGTTCATCACCATACATTACATCATTAGTTTTTGATGTAGTGTTCCATGATTCATTGTTTGCGTATAACACCCAGTGCTCCAGAACAGTTGTTTTGGAGAGTATTTGTTATCATCCCGTAAGAAGCCAATCTAGAAAGCAGCACTCTACGAGGAAGCACTGAAGAATCAACAAAAAAGGGTGGTGTCTTGCTCTGACTGGTATTCTTTGAAGATAATTCTAGTGGCAGTAAATTGATGAGGGAAGACAGTCAAGCATTTGGAATAGGTCAGGTGTGACATGACAAAGACATGAATGGACTGAGGCACTGACATGGGATGGAGGTAGAAATCAAAAGATACAGTGACTATCAATGGAATCTTACTGCATAGATTTTAGAGGGAGCTCAAGAGAATCACCAGATGATATTATTGACGGTGGCAACACCATTATTATAGTTGCAACACAAGGAGAAGTAGTTGACGTAGTGGGGAAATACACTTGAGGTACATGTACAAACGTCTATGATCAAAGACTATATTTATTCAAAATATATCTTCTTATGTAAAATTCACACTTTCTTATGGGCAAAATGCTAAGCAAATAAGAAATGAATCCTACCTCTGGATTTTCTTTTTCCTCTTCTACACTTACTTAAGTCATTCCCTGGTTCTACTTACCCACAAGGTCTATACGTGAATACAATGTAACTCTCTTCATCACTTCTTTCAATAAAAGTCACACATGTGTGCTTTTCCCAGTGCCTCATGGCCTGCTTGAACATGGCTCGCTGACTGCCTAGAAAAATGGCAGGATGTTAATAAAACAAAGTGTCTGCCTTAGGGAGCAGTGCTACACGCTGGCTCCTCCATCCTGAGTCTGACTAGGCAGTTCGGATGACATCACTCTCGTCAACCAACAAATACTAGCCTAGAGCACCACAAGTGATTACTCTTAAGAAGGGTCACTCACCTTATAATCAGAAGGTTCAAGCTCACTATCTCTACAAATATGTGTGTGTGTACAAGACTCTATCAACGGGACATATATTCTTCCTGTCAGTTGAAGAGAAATCAGCTTCCTGAATTGATGGACACATTTGAAACTCAGTTTAAAAACCAGAACAGTACTTTAATCTCTTAGAGCTCAAGACTAAAGATATTTTTCAATTTCAATGACATTCTAAACCAACAACCAAGGTAAGTAAAGTATTTCTCATGTTTGATTTAATACTATATTCTCTATATTAATACTCTGGAAAAATACACACAATCTATATAATATTTCTTTATAAAAATAAACACTCTGGGAATACCTTACCAGTGAAGTTGCCTCCTATAACATAAGGAATAACACCTCCAGGCCATATTCTTTCGGTTCTTGATGTAGCAGCTCTGGGAACTCGATTTTTTTCATTTTGCCCTGAGAATTTGAGAGGTACTTTTCCTTTAATTGTGCTGTTTTGCTCCAAGCCTGCAGTGACATTTAAAACATTCTGTGAAACAGAAGTCCTTGGTCAGGGAATCATTTCCTCTTAAAAGACTAAAGTTAAAATGTCTTATTTACATATTTGTGTAAATATGCCTGATGTCAAAATGCATTAAAGAAAAATTTCATTTGTATTACATACTTGAAAAAGTATTAAAATATTTAAGTACTTGATGTCAAAATACTATTTCTTAATGCTCTATGAGCAAATTTTAATGAATTCCCATACAACAGCCTACAGTGGACAGACGTCAGACAGACTGGTAGGCCACAAAAAAATTGTTTTATGTATTTTAATTTACTAGATCTCTGCCAATTCACCACCAGATGATAAACAGACATGGTTTAAAAAGTCACAAGATATTCAAAACTCTTCTTAACTCTTGCTAAATCCTTCATTCTTTTAAAGCAGGATATTCCATAGTACAGCCTAAAATTATGAAAATTACAGAGAGGATAAATGAAATAATGTTAAGGCAGATATGGTCTCAGCCTCCTGGGACGCTGGTATATCTCCATTCACATTTCCTCTGGATTTATATCCAGGTGATTTAGCACTATTTAGAGATCAATACACAACGTGAACTGGCCAACATAAAATACAGCCTATTCCTAGAGCAGTTTTCAAGTCTGTAGTCATTAATTTTCTTGGTGGCCTTTCAAAATATTTTTGTTACTGTTTTTTTGCTTTTTCCTAAATTTGCATTATTGTTCATTCTTTATTTTTTTATTTTATTATGTTACGTTAATCACCATACATTACATCATTAGTTTTTGATGCAGTGTTCCGTGATTCATTGTTTGTGCATAACACCCAGTGCTCCATGCAGTACGTGCCCTCTTTAATACCCATCACCAGGCTAACCCATCCCCCCACTCCCCTCCCCTCTAGAACCCTCAGTTTGTTTCTCAGAGTCCATAGTCTCTCATGGTTTTATTATTCATTTTTATTCATCTATCACTGTTGATCCAAATATCCCACTCCTGGAATATACTTCAGACACAACAAACATTGAATGCATGCCCCTATTCCCATGTCCCTAACAGGTTTATCTCTTAATACCCTGAGGCAAGGCATCTTTGCTTGGGAAAATTATTCCCTGAAAGTGAGTACTGTCAATTATTTAATTAATAATTCATCAATTTAAAAAATGTTAGGACACACTTTGAACAGAAAACTTTTTTAGAAACTTTATAATCTATAAATAGTGTTTAACAAATTCAATGCTATAAGTATTAACTAATTATGAAACCAGAAAGCTGTTTTTCTATGTATATTTCTGGAAGGGTCAAAACATTTTCAATTAATTTTTTAATCTCACAAATCAGTTTGTCAATTTACTTTAAGTGGGTTTTATTTCAAAACAGTCATGACATTTTTTGATTTGATTAAAACTGATGTAGTTCCATGCTTGATAAAAACAATTTAGTGTGATACACACTGCACCAGAAATAAATATCAACAATACAATAATCCCTTAATGCATTTTATACTAAGGAGAAGCTGCAAGTAAGTTAAAGAAATGTTTCAATTGTCCCAAAATAAGTTCTAAAAAACTGACATTAAACATCAGCTAACAAAAATGAATAAAGGACTGTTTCTCAGCATATACCCTTTACACACTTCACATATTAATGGCAAACTGAACTGCTATTAGTATAATATTTACTGTACATCAAGTCAAGTGTCTGCAACTTTAAACATTGATATACCAGAGCCAATTCTTCTTATCCTGTCTATAAGCTGGTAGAGGGCCCCTCGTTTCTTTGACATACCATGGTCTCCAAATCCACCTTAAGAATAAAAGAAAATAGTTAAGTTAAACTCATTGCATTTTAAAGTTCTTCTAAATAAACATACCAAAAGGCTACACTGATTTCTCTTTGGACATCTTTTTTTTATGTGGTCTAAGAACCTTAGAGTCATGAATATCCATAAATCTTAGATAAGTGTAAACATTCTACAAACACAATTTTGGTAACTAAAAACAAGTGGGTGGGGTGATCCACAGAACAATCTAAGTGACTTTATTTGGACATCATGGCAACTGAGTCATCTATCGATAATTTGGAACATTTTTCTTCACTGTGACTTTGACATCACATCATGTTATATAGGATGACAGCAAGTTGTTCGGCCCTGTTGATTGCATTCCAGCTATTTCTCCAATGTAAACAGAATATTTTCAGAAGCCAAATCAGCAAATGGAAATAAAAACATTAGAAGAGCAAATATATAGTACAAGTCTAGATCCAAAGCTATGATCAATTTTGAAATATTTTTAAAAGCACATCATATTTTATAATATATTCAAATATAATTCAAAAATGAGTTTTAATAATTTATAAAAACCAATAACACATAATTACAAAAACGTCACAACAATCCAAAAGGATGTTCAGCAGCAAAATACATTCTGTTATGCTATATAATTGGCAAAATTTATAAAAATAGATGTAAAGAATTTTAGAGCTCAAAAGGTAGAAAAGGAGGTCAGGATGAGGGAATATATCCTTTTGCAGATTTACCAACTGGAAAAAAAAATAGAAAAGGCAGATTTCCTCTCAAAGGTCAGAAAGCAGAGCATCTGAGGAAAATCCAAGTCCTCTGATTCTCATTCCAGGCCTTGAATAGAATGCTCTCCCAGTTTTATCTCCTATTTTCCCTTCCTATTGAATTTTCAATAGACAAATAACAAGAAGACATCACTGAGCAAACAACCAATATAACCACTAATAATATCTGAACAAGTGCAGATACATTCACACCACAAGAATATGATTAATGAGTCTCTTTGGGCAAAGACAATGGAAGGGCTAGAAATCCATAAAGACAACAAACTGCTTGCACCTTGATCTATTTCTTTCCAATATCTTTTTCCCCTTTGAAATTAATACCAAAACTTATCTACCTAGAGTAAAGCTAATAAAAACCCAAAATAATCACAAAAACCATTACCATATAAGCCTTCTAGAGCAAAAGATCAATTAAGTCCTTATAAGGCAAGTAAGTTAGAGTGCTTGTTCACTGACTAATAACGTGCCTGATTGTTTTCATTACATGGTCACATTTTTGCTGTGCTACTTGAGAAAAATTTTTGAAATTTTTTCATTGAACATTTTAGAAAGATGAGGTAATATTTAAATGTATTCATTCCTAAGTAGCTATAAGAAATATTTTTAAAGAATGGCATTTATATGTTTGAAATGACAGTTATGTAACAATTATACTTTATATTAGATAGGCCTGAAGCACATATAAATAGATTTAGAAGAAGGTTAATTATGAGAAAAAAGAAATGTCTTAGTTAATATTAAGGTAATTATAAGGATAAGAGTAATTATAGAATTTTCAAAAAACAATGTTTCAAGACCACTAAAGGCAATAATACCTTTTAAAATTTAGCAATTTTTCTAAAAATTTGTATAGAAACTGAAATTACAAAAAATTCGGTGTAGGTAGTTCATTAACATAGAAAAAAGGAAAGTGATAATATAAGTGGTTATTTCGCACATATTCTAAAAACAAACTGAAGATATACAAACTAAGTAAATACTTATGGGAAAGACTATACAGTTTGAAATAAGAAAATAAGAAATACAATTAATTTGATCTCCTCACTTGTAAGTCATATTAGTAGCTACTCCTCATGGGATTATTATGCACATTCAAAGAGTTATTATCTGCAAAACACTTAAACCAGGCTTGGTACCTGGTTTAAGTACTTGGTACCTTGGTACCAAACAAAATGTTTGTCAAAGAAATTAATTAATAGAATTAAAAACTATGAACAAAATCTAAATTTCCAAATAGGCTCATTAATGTTTAGGCAATCAAAGTTGATCAGCAGGACATTAAAAGTGACCTAAAGAATACTTAGAGCATTTCAAGAGTATCTTTTCTCCAAAATGAACACAAATTCAATCAAATAATCAACCATACCTGTGGTATGTCCAAGTCCAAAGGGGTTCTGTGTAAGGTCAATTGTCCTATCAATTTGAAAGATACTTAACTCTTCATCATCTAAGGCAATATCACCCCAAAACACAGCTAAAAAAGAAAAGTTCAATTAAAATGTAAAATATTAAAGAGCAAAGTCAATGCAAACAAAGCTAATTTGAAAAATATTGTTAAAATATGGAAATGCAGTCCATATAGACAGATATTTCAGAAAGTAATTATAACTGAATATAATACTGGACCTGTTATACTATAATATGAACCACTTGTAAAAGGGTATTACCTACATTTTCTTACTTTGATGTTTGACGGGAGGGGGTAAGTCATTTCTTTGAATGAAATGGTCACTGGTTTTTGGGGGAATCTAAGGAAAATGAATTTAGCAATCATGGCTATTTTGCAAGTAAATGAAAATCTGCTAAGTGTGCTTGAATTTACAGTGGATGCCTGTGACCAGCAGCAGGTCTTCACTGACAGGTAGAAGGAGACATAGTAGCAGCTAAATATTGTACTGTTCTAGCAACTTACTCATCACATTTTTATACACTTTCTCTAAAGATGGCATTGCCTCTGAGTTTCTGTAAAATATATAAATAAATACCGAAAATAATATTTAAGTCAACATTTATTTAGTCAATGACCAGGTTGCTACACCTTTGATCTCTAATGATAAATAAAACACTGTCCATATTTTCCGGAGCTTCAAAATCATTGCCCCAAATCCTGAAAACCCTCTGACTCTTTTACATCCAGTCTTTTATGCTACCTAATAAAACAAAGCTCTATAAACCACTGTGGGAAGAAATGAGATAATTTCTTTAAAACCAGTATGTGAATTTTCTTTTAACGTCAGAAATATATATTAACATAACAAAAAAATGCCTTCCTTTTTATTTGAGTCCAAAACTAGACTAATCAATCTCTTAGTGCTGTTGAATATCAAAATACAGTAACTTTAGGAAACACAGCAAATTTAAGAGAGAGAATAAATTAATCATGAGATAGTAAAACACTGACAAATGCTTTGGGAATTCTGGGATAACTGTTTCATTATACAAGTTTACAAATTTTCTTTTTCAAATTTTTCTTCAAATTTTTCTTTTGCAAAACCAAGAGAGGAGGAAAATACATTAAAATTTTAGGAAATGATGAAATCCATGCTTTTCAAATCACTGTCTTTTAGTAGATTTAAACTTTAATATTTAGGAATTTTAGCTGTAAAAATAGTTAATAAAATTAATTTATGAAATTTAAATTTCAATCCTGAAAGCTATACTTTAGGCTTTGGTCAAAAGTTTATTATGTAAAATTATTTACCCTGTTTAGTTCCCTCATACAAAATGACATGAGATAAGAAAGTTAGATTTATGTGTAAATCTAGAAAGGAAGGAGATGGAAATTAGTTCAAGGTAGGTTATCAGTTCACCATATGGAAAAATATTCATTAAAATTAGAATTCTCTCATCAACTCCTCTCTTCCACCCTACTGTCAATGGAATGGCAGTCTGTAGAACCAGAAAAATGCTTACTATTTTTTACTGTCCTAGAGACAAAGTAATGAAAGGTCTGTAGAACAGTTTACAGCACTGGGTAAGAGGCTGGTCTTGATGCCTGAAATTGAAGCCAGATTCTAATCAGCTTCGTACACCTCTAGCAGAAACCGCTGATGCTCCACTACCCCTAAAGACAGACATCTCAAAAAATAGATGGCCTGCTTAAATAAAAAAAATTTGCACTTTATATAAAAGGCCTGTTAGTTTTCATAAAAATAAATTTTGCACTTTTTTTCCCCAAGATTTTACACTTTAAGGTAAATTCAAGTTTGTGAGTTATTTAAATCTTCCATCCTGTGTGTTTACTATGCAAACAGTTGAGGGCATTGACTGGCAGTGACTCCAAAGCTGGCTCTTCCTTTCTTAGGGCTGGGGGCAACTAGAGACAGGAAAACAGTGTTACTCTAACATGAACTCGAATAGGGATCACAGCGGATCGGGTTAAAATGCAGGCTCTGATATAGTCGGTCTGGAGAGAGGCCTCAGATTCTACATTTTTAGCAAACTGCCATTACTGCAAATAATTGTCATTGTCATCATCTTTATCAGCATTATTTTTTTTTTGCAAGAATAAACTTTTGCTCCTCTCTGAACCAGCTGGTTAACTTGAAAGCTGAGGCACTCAACTAAACAAAATGCAGTTTGTCCATACTCCATTTGTATAATAAAAGTAGTATGAGTAAAACAAAACCCAAATGTGTTTTAGATTTTTATTTTCTCGTAACGACTTTTCACATGCAATAGGATTCATGTTTTGATGGATGGATTATATCAAAAACAGAACAGCAGTCCAAGGATATAACACTTCACAGAAGCAAAAACATTACTTCTGGGGAGAAAAAAAGGCACAAGGCCGGATGATTCTTAAAAGGAGACAAAACTGTTCTGAAATACACACACCAATTTTTTTTTATTATTATTTACTGTTATCTTTTCTGAACTAAAAGCTTCAGAATAGTTGTGCCAGTTCTCAACACACCATGAATTGCTTCAGGAGAAAACCAAATATTTCTTTGAGAACAAGCTATAGTGAATGACAAAGTCAATTCATTTGTGTGCAGACTTGATATACTGCAAGTCATGTATATCTTTAAATTTTGATACTATCAACAGAAAAAAAAAGAAAAAATAGCCATCTTAAAATTACAACCTATCAGACAGTTTAAAATGCACAATTTCTTTCTTCATATTGTACACATTTGAGGGTTTCCTTCATTCATCTTTCACTTCAAAGTAAATGTCTTATTTCTGCATACTGAAATACTTTACTTATACATTGGTATAGCAAGCTGGACCACAACATTCTATATTACATGGATTTAGAATTTGCATTATAATCTAACACATATTTATTATTTAGGATCCAAGATATTTGTAATTCTCAAATCCACTTTGGAGTGTTTTTTTTTTCTTTTTCTTTATGGTATTTTCTATTTGTTTTGCATCCCCAAAAAAATCACAAAAATTAGAAATAGTTTTAAAAAGTATGAATTATTACTCATTAGCCCCATTTAATGCAGTGATTTGAGGTTGGGGATATCGGAACTGAAAGCAATACAGGAAACTGGTTATAGATGATAATATTAAGGAAATGCTCAAGTGCAATTAGAATATTTACTATCTGTTTGGGGAATTCTGCTTGGATTCCTACGGTCAAAAATGGGGTTGGAGCTAACCAACAGGCCAAAATAAAATGTCAAGAAGAACAATTTTTAAACTACATGGAAAACCACAGGCATTTTTTTTCTTCTGAAGGCTATTTGCATTCATTGTAATACAATTTTTTTTTAAATCGAAGACCAAGAAAGACAAATAGCTTTTATTGTAGTAGGTAGAGTAAACACATTTTACAGAAGAATGTATGGCAAGAATGAACAAGCCAAAATCGTGATTCCCTACACTATAACTTTAAATGATATTTCTTCCACCCTTTCAAGATTCCCCAATGATCTTTAGCCTTTCCGTTTTGAAGCTGGGATTCAGCGACCAGCTATAAGGAGGCTTCAAACTTGTGATTTCTCAAAAGCTATACGCAAAAAATACGTATGAGTTTATACACCTAGTCACAACATGTTTTGCAGGGAAGAGGTCCACCACAGGCTGTCAGACACGATCACATAAAGGAAAGAGCCACTATTTTCGCCAAATGCAAAGCCTTTCAGTCCACTCAGGAGAAAATGCTTGCAAACTAAATACCCTCACAAAAAGGAATACATTTACAGTGAATTAATGCTAACGTATCTGATAGCTGGTTACTACTTGATAGCATACTGTAATAAACAAATTGATAGAGTCTCCTCAGGCATTGCCTATAGAAAGCCCTTCCAGAAACCCCCTCTTTCCAACTAATCTGGTGTCACATCTGCTTCCGTGTCCTGCCTGTGCTTCTGTCAGTAATAGACCAGCACACAAGATTTCACACCATGTTTTCAACAGTCTGATTCTTCAATCTAATTTTGAAAACACTGACCACAGGAAGCATGCGTTGCTCGTCTTTAAACTCTCACTGTCAGAGTGCCTGACAGAAAGTAGGTACGCAATATATGTTTTGAGACACACACAAAAAAATGTGAATGAGAAAATACCCTGACTCCGGGTATAAATTGCGTATGACAAAAATAAGGCTAGCCATGCTACATACTTCACCGATTTGCCCTAAGTCCCAAAATACTAGATATTCGCCATTCTAAGGAATATTTCAAATCATTTCAATCTAGAGTGGATTATTGTTAGACACTCAACAAAAATTTTTAAAAGGGGCAACGGCCTTTCTTCTTTATTTCAATAGTGTATATTATTAAGTGTAGTTATGGGAAATGTGTCCATTTTTCTCTAAACATCACACTGATATACTCGGGAAATACAGACTGAATTAACAGATCAGATCTCTTGAGATTTATGAGATTTGAAGAGATAACGCAAAGATTCAACAATAGCCAAGAGCACTTGCTTCTTACATTGTTCCCATATACAGTTTAAACTTTCTGCTTTTATTGATATTGGATTTAGGGAAGAAGAATGATGTCATGTGAAGGCCTGACAAGGCTGCTTTGGCTGCTCTACCCTACAATAAAGGCTTAGTAAAAATTTCCTCAGACAAGGACAACAATGAAGGCTCAAAAGTCAACTATTTTTACTTGATTGACAACCACTAAGCAAATTCCCAAGGAAAAGTAAGATTTGGCAAAAGTTCTAATTATACATTTTGGAGACAATGTTACAATACTTAAAAGGGAACACAGTTTTCTAGTGGCATTTCATATGCACTGAATAAATTTTAATCCCAAAATGACACACATGAAAGATAATTTAAGTTCCAAGTTTGGGAAACAATTATCTTTGAAGTCTTGATACAACATAAAAATAAGTAAACATATATTTTTATACAGACTCTCAGAATTACTCTTCAAAAAAAATTAGGATGAGAATTTTTTATGTAACATATTTCCTTCTTAAATTTCTAATAATAAAAAAGTATTTGTAGTCCAATTATTGTAGTGAATGTAAGAAAATAGCCCATGCAATGTTTTATTTAAA